GATACAGGCTTCAAAGCCCATATTGGTAGTCATTTATACAACAGTAGCTCTAATGATGTCCATCTCCCTTTTCAGAAACTTTGGAAGTTACAAGCCTTAAAATCTCTATTCAAAGAACACCAGAAAGGCTGTAAGAGTAATTAAGAACATTTTAAAGGCTACAAAACCAACCTAGAGAAAGAGTTATGAAACATCAAAATTAAGGCTACCTGTTTCACTTAATTCAACTACTTGATTCATGCGTGTTACAATTTCATTTTTAGTTGTATGATTACAAAATATTCCTTTCATAAACTCCCTTGCCATACTCCAGTGCATAGAATGAGACTTTTCTGAGGATAATTGAGGACTGTGTAGTAACACAACAGGAAACTGATGGCTGTAGGATTCCCGATTCACTTGTGCAGAACTTGGAATGTGGATAGTGAGTAAGCCAGGGACTGCAGGAAGAGGATGAAGAGTGGCACTGTGAAGGTTGATGAACACTGCTCAGAACAACTGGATTGTATTCCTGTTTCTGTCACAAATACACACAATTTCTACACAATCCAAAGAAAACCCATTTAACTTGAACTAAAACTAAGTATGACAGTTGGCGCTTCTTAGTCTGTCCTTTCTCTGAGACTCTGGTGTCTGAATTCAAATTCAAAGGCCTAGAGCTGAAGTCAGCAGGAGCTGTGATTTGAACATAAAAAGTGATGTAATCCTGCATAAACCAACATTTACTGTAAAATACTGAAAATTAACATAAGTTCACCTAGTCTTCTGAGCTTTCCAAGTTTTCATGAAGTCTGCTACTCACTAGATTGCTGTGAAGTTAAATCAATTAATGTTTGTAAAGCACTTGTATGCTACTAAGTCAACATTCATAGAAAAGTCCACAAGGGAACCGATAATCCTTTCTTCAGACAAGGTTTGAATAGCATGCTATAAAAAAAGTCTGCAGAACCTAAATAGTTGTTCTCTAAAAGCCAACAGAAAGCAAAGAAAGCACTGAAGAGCTGCTAGTAAAGTGAGTTCCATTACCCTGCACAAGGAATTAAGCATGGTTGGCAGAAAAAATGCACAACATTTAATCTTTGCATTAAGGACTGTGTAAGGGGATCTATGAAGCTCGTGCCAATCACCTTAATTACAGCGTTTCCTAAATTTTAAGAGTTTGACTTAGAAACATTGCTTCTGTGTGTACCATATAGAGAAAATGCAAATATATATGAACTTACCATCATACTTTGCTAAGACTGCCTGGACATCTGCATACGCTTGCAGTTCCAACAAAGCCTCTAACAGGTTTTCATGGATGTTGAACATGCTGAGTAGAGGAAACTCCTTCATCAACTAAAATCAATAACATATGAAAGGGTTAGAGTATTAACATGGAAAAGGGTTTCTTGTTCAAAATGCATTGAAATAACCAACACCAAGTTAAACCCTCTCAGTTCCCCTTGTTCTTGGCTCCTTCCCAGAGTTTACTATTATCTCAGAAATTTCTGAGCTATTAATGGACACTGGGTCTGGTTTCTTGACCAGACACACTTTGCATAGGATGCAATTAATCAAAGCCAAGAACACAGCTGCCTGAATACATAACTGTCCTTCAATTAACAGCCTTCTTCAAAGTGAAGAAGAGTTATCTTATTGTACTGGAAAATAATCTTCAACAATGTAGCTCCTGTATATCAGTACCCAGTAATCCAGCACTTCTCTGGTGTATTAGTAGAAAAAACAGAAAATACACTGAAAAAAATCAGAATAAAATCAAACGAGAGAAGCTCGTTTGCAACTATGTTATCAAGTATGTGATATTAGGATTTGTAATTGTGGATACTTTAGAACACAACTGCAATTGTGGCCAATATAAAAAAAAAAAAAAAGGAAGAAAAAAAAGGAAAACAAAAGAAAAAAGAAATATAACCTTCCAGCAGCCACAGGTTGTCACTGTACCATCTCTCTTC